GGGGGGGGGGGGGAGGTAGAAGAGAAAGAGACAAGATACTTCGTACTGTGGGAGCTAAAGGTATCGTCCTTTCCGGTCACCTTCGCCCCTGTCAGTTGTAGGACAGGTACTGGATTAATCGTGGAGGAATATCAAGCTTGGCGATCTTCTCCAGCGCTCGTTGCCCGGCAGCTTTCCTCACCGTAACGCGGCAGAGCTGCGACAAACTCAAGGGGGTCTCTAGAAGAAGAAAAGAAGACTCAAAGTTAGGGCTGAAGCTCCACGGGCGGCTGATCTTCCCGTAGAGCAGAGATCTCCCAGGAGGGTGACAAGCCTAGACCTTGGTCCATAACCTGGTCCAAGCTTATGGACCTCCCAAGCCCAAGGAAGGCACCGCAGAGCCATGGGCGTGCTCTCTCAAGGCTCATCCTGATGGAAAACCCACCAGAAATGGTGAGCACAGCTACAGCGTGCTTCTCCCAACTCTCTTCCTCACTGGCATCCCCCAAAGCTCAACGGAGCCCATTGGATCACCTGCTCTGATGGTGACACTCTCATCACAGATTGAGCCTGCTCTGATGGTGACACTCTCATCACAGAATGAGAGAATGGTAGGGGTTGGAAGGGACCTCTGGAGATCATCCAGTCCACCCCCCTGCCAGAGCAGGGCCACCCACAGCAGGTCCCACAGGAATGTGTCCAGGTGGGTTTGGAATATCTCCAGAGAAGGAGACTTTTCAACTGGGTGATTTCCTTGACCTGACTTAATGCATCAAAGCATAAACACTGATGCTGACACACGAGAAGGACCTGAATTCTGTGAGGGCATGATTTGGATCATCTTACTACAGCCACTCAACCACCATTAAGCAGAGCCAGCCTACAGCCAGCTGCCCTGTATTTCCCACCAAGAACTCTATACCTTCTCCCCAGCCTTCCTGTAGGCTCCCTTCAGGGACTGGAAGGCTGCTATTAGGTCTCCCCGGAGCCTCCTCTTCTCCAGGCTGAACAACCCCAGCTCCCTCAGCCTGTCCTCGTAGCAGAGGTGCTCCATCCCCCTGATCATCCTTGTGGCCCTCATCTGGACCCTCTCCATCAGGTCCATGTCCTTCTTCTATTGAGGGCTCCAGACCTGCACACAATACTCCAGGTGAGGTCTCACCAGAGCAGAGTAAAGTGGCAGAATCCCCTCTCTGGACCTGCTGGCAACACTTCTTTCGATGCAGCCCAGGATGTGATTGGCCTTCTGGGCTGCAGCTGCACACTGCCTGCTCATGTCCAGCTTCTCATGAGCTTCTTCTCACAGGAAGATGACCAAAGGGACTGAAAATCATGACCTGGTGCAATGGAGCTGGCAGTCACCGAATTCTTGGGGCGGGGGATCATATCTCACTTACTTTCGTAGTACTCGAAGCACTTCGCGGTGGGACTGCTGCTCCAGGTGTAATCCGATGGCTTCTTTCCCCGGTTGTCCCTGGCGTAAATGTTTCCTCCAAATTCAATCAGCATCTCCACCAGGTCTACGTTTTTCACTTTGGCTGCGTGGTGGAGGGCCGTCTCGTGAAGTTTAGCAGCGTTCACATTTGCCCCTTGAGGCCAGAAAGAGAAAAAAAAACAAACCCGTTCATGAAAGCCTGACTTGACCCAAACGTAAGGAGTGGAAAAAAGAAAAAAATAAAATGCAGGAGCAGCCAGAACATGATCCAAACAAACCAGCACAAACAGGAAACCAAACTGCTGAACAAGTTCTCGGTGCTGGCAAAGCATGAAGTTTTCTTCTCTGGCTTTTCACAGAATCACAGAATCTTCTAGGTTGGAAGGGACCTTAAAGATCATCTCGTCCAACCGTCAACCCAACTGACAAAAATAGACACCCACACAACAAACAAGGAGCATCACCATCACTAAACCATACCTCCCACCACTACATCAACCCGTCTTTTGAACACCTCCAGGGATGGTGCCTCAACCCCCTCCCTGGGCAGCCCATTCCAATGGCTGAGAACCCTTTCAGTGAAAAAATTTTTCCTAATATCCAGCCTGAACCTCCCCTGGCGCAACTTGAGGCCATTTCCTCTTGTCCTGTCGCCTGTGACTTGGGAGAAGAGACCGACCCCCATCTCTCTACACCCTCCTTTCAGGGAGTTGTAGAGAGCAAGAAGGTCTCCCCTCAGCCTCCAGGCTGAACACCCCCAGCTCCCTCAGCCTCTCCTCATAAGACTTGTGCTCCAGACCCCTCACCATCTTTGTTGCCCTTCTCTGGACCCGCTCAATGTCTTTTTTATGGTAGGGGGCCCAAAACTGGACACAGCACTCGAGGTGGGGACTCACCAGTGCCCAGTCCAGGGGGACAATCACCTCTCGGGCCCTACTCCCCACACTGTTCCTGATACAGGCAGTTTGATCAACTGACTTGTTCAGCAGAGCTGAGATGAACCCCACCAAATTCAAACTGGCTTTTAGATGAGTGTGGCCCCACTGAGCCGCCCTTATAATTAACAGGGAGGAACAGGCATTCCTGGGGAAGCAATTAATGGATGCCCAAGACAGGGAACGGGAGCAACTGGAGAAAAAACTAGCTTAGATGTGTAATTTTTAGACAACTAATGTTCAATGAAACAAATCACAGAGTCATAGAATGGTTAGAGTTGGAAAGGAACTTAAAGATAATCAAGTTGCAACCCCCCTGCCGTGGGCAGTGACACCTCCCACCAGACCAGGATGCTCAAATCCCCATCCCTGGGCCAAATCTCCTCCTGGTAAGCAAAGACCATCTCCAAATTCCACCCCGAAGTCAGCACCAAGAGAACTGGGATGTGAAACCTGGAGCACGGAACATTGACTTTGAACATCCAGCGAACTCATCTGGGCGTAACACTGACCAGATCTCCCTGAGGTATGAAGTGACTTCATCTCTGCTTTAATGGTTAGAGTTGGAAAGGAACTTAAAGATAATCAAGTTGCAACCCCCCTGCCGTGGGCAGTGACACCTCCCACCAGACCAGGATGCTCAAATCCCCATCCCTGGGCCAAATCTCCTCCTGGTAAGCAAAGACCATCTCCAAATTCCACCCCGAAGTCAGCACCAAGAGAACTGGGATGTGAAACCTGGAGCACGGAACATTGACTTTGAACATCCAGCGAACTCATCTGGGCGTAACACTGACCAGATCTCCCTGAGGTATGAAGTGACTTCATCTCTGCTTTTCTGGACAACATCAAACCCTAACATCTCTCCCTAACACCTACCCAAAACCACACGGCTGCGCTACCAAAGCTGAAGGCATGCACAGCAGTTGACATCACTTCAGGGAATAAGTTGAAACTTTGCTCTGGGGGGCTGAAGAGTTGTGCATTTTACTAAAATAAGAGGATGGGAATGTCACTGGAGACATCACAAACTGGACATTGGCAGGCATACGCTGAAAAAAATGCTTAAACACTAAGCTTTGCTCACGTAAAGGCAAAACATTTCACCTTTGTCATTTATATTCAGGCTGAGAGAACTGGGGTGGTTGGGCCTGAAGAAGAGAGAACCGCTCCGAGGAGACATTATTGGAGACTTAAAATCATAAAATGGTTCAGGTTAGAAGGTTAAAGACCTTCCAGTTCCACCCCCCTGCCCTGGGCAGGGACACCTCCCACCAGACCAGGTTGCTCAAAGCCCCATCCAGCCTGGCCTTGAACCCCTCCAGGGATGGGGCAGCCACAGCTTCTCTGGGCAACCTGGGCCAGCACCTCCCCATCCTCACAGCAGAGAATTTCTTCTCAATATCTCATCTCAACCTCCCCTCTTTCAGTGTCAAACCATTAACCCTTGTCCTATGGCTCCCCCCATCATCAAGAGTCCCTCCCCATCTCTCCTGGAGCCCCTTGAGGGACTGGAAGGGGCTATAAGATCTCCTCAGAGCCTTCTCTTTTCCAGGCTGAACCCCCCAGCTCTCTCAGCCTGTCCTCACAGCAGAGGGGCTCCAGCTCTCTGATCATCTCCGTGGCCTCCTCTGGCCCATTTCCAAGAGGTCCATGTCCTTCCTGTGCTGGAAGTACCTAAAGGGGCTCCAGGAAAGCTGGGGAGGGACTCTTGATCAGGGAATGTAGGACAGGATGAGGGGAGATGGTTTTAAACTGCAAGAGGGGAGATTTAGATTAGATATTAGGAAGAAACGTTTTACGCTGAGGATGGTGAGACACTGGCCCAGGTTGCCCAGAGAGGTAGGAGGTTCCCCATCCCTGGAAACACTCCAGGTCAGGTTGGACAGGGCTCTGAACCACCTGATCGAATTGAACACATCCCTGCTCATGGCAGGGGGTTGGACCAGATGACGTCTAAAGGTCTCTTCCAACCCAAACCATTCTATGATTCTTGGACTATGCTGTGAATTAAGAAGTTCTTTGATGAGAACACCACTGTGGAGCACCGAGGGGAACGCTGCGCACAGACACCACCATCTCCTGCCCACCCAGAAGCAAACCCCAGAAGCTGCCATACCTGCCTTGAGCAGCAACTTCGCACAGTCCAGATGCTCCCTGGCACAGGCCACGTGGAGGGGCGTCCCGAAATGACAGTCGTGAGCCTCCAGGTTGGCGCCGACGTCGATGAGGAGTTGCACGCACTCCGAGCTACCTTTAGAAAAGGGAAGATCAGTCAAAAATAAGAATCCAGTTCAAATGGGAGCATATGGCCTGCTGAGATCAGTTTGACGCACAAACTGCAGGGCACAAACAGCCACAAACACCCCAGTTTGGGGTGATGGCTGCAAAATAGAAACGCTTGTGAGCCAACACAACGCACCGAGACCAAGATGGGGACACCTCTACTCTGCCCCTCTGCTCTGCACTCGTGAGACCCCACCTGGAGCACTGTGTCCAGCTTTGGAGTCCTCAACACAGAAAGGACATGGACCGGCTGGAACAGGTGCAGCGGAGGGCCAC